GTTTTTCAACCATCTGATGGCGCAAATTACGAGCTTTTTTACCGTAATAAAACAAAGTAATTAACAGCCTCAAAATAATCATCCATGTCCTAATTAGGGTAAAAATCTGCACTGTAGTAGTAATTATGTAATCCGAAGAAACCTATGGTGATTGCTAAGCATGTGTTCTACATCGATCAAGTAGTGTCATTGTGGTCCAAAGTATATATTTATTATGGTGTAAATGCAATGCAGCCTAAACATTTGAAAACTATATATGATGGTGACATGCAAACACAAACATGAGGGACCATTATGAAAACCCAGCCGCATTTAATTTGTGATTTTAAATATTAAAGATACGTTATTTAATTGGGATGTGTGCCTGTCTATGCGTATGTATGTAAAAAAAAAAGAAGAAAAAACCAATATCGGTGAGAAATTTAAAATTTGTTAAGGGGCAGTCAAATTAAATCTCTTTGGAGATGAAAATTATAATTTCATCCTCAATGATTTTTTGGGAGGAAATTGGCCCCCAATAAAATTTATTTGTGACTATTTGATTCCCATTTAAAGAGGGCAAATTTCATCCTTATAGCATCTTATAAATATAAAGACACGCTTTTGTATAGGTGTTAGAGATTCATATAAAATCATTCTTAAATCTTCACTCAACAATTTAAACTTTTGAAATTGAGATGATTTTTTATGTACAATCAAAATGTTACTCGACCAAATATGCAGTCATGAATTTGAATATTACTATTTTAATTTTTTCTTTTAATTAAAATATATAAATATAATAGAACAAACTAGTATGAATATGTGCAAGTTTCAAATTCAAAAATTTTTAACTTGAGGTTAATTAAAATATAATAACACAAAGTAGTATTGACTTATGTAAGTTTCAAACTAAAAAAGTTTTAATTTGAAGAAGTATGTTAGAAAATAATATAAAATTATTTTTAAAATTTCATTTAATAGTTTAAACTTTTAGGTTGAAATGATTTTTTGACAAGGGAGGACGAAATTTGACCACCCTTCATTCATATTATTTTAAGGAACGAATTTGATCCCTAGTCCTTGTAAATGCATTGTAACTCAAAGGGAACGAATTGAAGAAATCTTCTTGTATGGCAGCAAATTGTCTCCAGATCGAGCGATGATCACAGCTGGTTTGTGGTGTATGTCTGTTTCCACATAGATAATGCATTAATTTAGACACAGGATGGCAATATTGCTTCCTGTTTTATGGACCCTCACCTTATGATACAAGGTCAGAATCTACAAACTTGTTTTGTTCTTTAATGGTTTTTTTTTTTTTTTTTTTTTTTTTTCTCAGAAAAAGAGCAAAGACTAGCCATTGGGAACATTCCCACAACTTTTCTGTTTTGTCTGGACTTAGACTTAAAGGCCACCGTATTAATTAAGGACACCAACACGAAATTCTCCAAGGAATGGCATGAGATTCAAAGCAAAAGGAATAACAAGAAAGACAAAGACCATATCATTTACCTTTCCTTCTACACAATTCGTTAGGACCCATTTCTTCCCTTCTTAGAAGAATTGCCCCACCACCACCTTCTACTCTTTTGATTGGAATAACAAAAAATTAAAGAAGCAAAGTTAGCTAGCAAGCTAGCCAGGGGAAAAGCATTTTGTCTTGGATTACTTTATTACGGTTCGTGATTGTCTGGATATTCCTCTTATTGTTTATTTCTTTGGCTCCCTCTAACTTTATTTTATTGTATGAATGAATATTCCATGTCCATTTTTTTCTTTTCTTCTTTTTGGTTGCTTGTGCCAACTATAAAGAATCAAGGCCGTAAGTCCCATGCATGATGTTTCTCAATCTCGCCGGACTTTAATTTGGTCAGATGATGTGAATGGTCGGGGCTTTTTCAAGGTTTCTTTAATTTCTTGGAGTTCAAATGAGGTTTGAGCATGAGATCGATCATCCCTCTCACAGGATTTTAATTTTCTTCATGTCTATAAAAATTAACTCGTCTAAGAGGAACTTGAAGTTGAAGCTAATTGGTGTGGTTGGTTTTGAGGTTTGAATCATATATAGATATGTTATTTTTGTTAGTTGTTTCATCAAGAGGATTTGATTTCGGCTTCTGTGATCCCACTCGAAAATACTACCTCTCAATGTAATAATAATAATAATAAATAAGTAAAAAGATTGATATAGTAACCTAAAATTAAAACGAATCCACCATTAATTTCAAATAATTTTCAACCTTAACCTTTACTTAATTTGTAATGCCAGCACTCCATATAAAAAATATGTAATAAAATAATTTCCTGAGCATATATATGATGGCTATTCTTTTTTTTTTTTTTTTCTTGAATGCATTGGTGACCATTTAGAACAGTACCAAATATAATTTTCTGACAAAAATAGAAGAGATAGCAGCAATATAATCCATATCTTTCGGATTCAAACATGCATGGATACTTCAACTTGTAAAACCAATAATTTTTTTATTAATTATTCTACCAATAATACGTTATTGCTTCATCGGTGAAACTTTTTACAACATATATATATATATATATATATGCCACTTGCACATATACTGCTCGAAACCCAAAAAGAAAGGGAAAAAATGACATGATTAATTCTTTTTTTTCTCTTGATAAATGGCATTAATTGTTTTCTCCACGTCCAACAGGTTGCAATGATAAGAGGTGACTTGCATGCTTTAAGGATGAACAAGAGAATGTTGCGATTCTATCTTTTTTCCTAGAAATCTTTAGTTCTAACAATTATTCTCTTCCATTTTCTTTATTCTCTTTTTCGGTTTACCTCCCAATTAATGGCCACGTTGAAAGAGAACTAAATAAAGGATAAAGCATTATCTTTTTTAGAGTCAATCATTTGATTATGTTTTCTTTCATTTCTTCGGAGATACATATTTTTCTTTCTATTCTAAAAAGATTGTTTTCTTTTATTTTTTCACATAAATTTTAAAAAATATTAATTGTTATACCATATCAGTATTTCTTATTCATTTTTTAAAAAAAATTATTAATTTTCAAATTTAATCATACATGGCATATAAACTAATATTAATTAATGGTATTTTAGAAAAATATACAATTTAAAATTTTAATTAGATAAATATTTTGACATGGGTACAAATAAAGAAACAACCAATCTCTTTAAAACAAAAAAAATACTATATAATAACTTGTTACTTTTAAGTACTGAATACATAGAAAATTCAATGTTAGGTCAATATATGGTACAAAAGTTTCTAAGAAAATATGGGGTTTTTTTTTTTTGTAAGAAAATAGTAAATTTTATTTCAATGAATTCAATAACAAATTAAATATAGCAAAAGAATATCCCGGCTAATTGGCAAGCTATAAGTAAATATATGCAGGGTAAGGTGTGAAGGGAAGGGAATGATGATTAAAAGAAGGGTAAGAAAGAGAGGAAAAAGAGTGTCACGAAATGGGAGGACAGTCCACTTGCGTGATCCCATAAAGACTCTCTCATCTCTGTAAAAAGAGAGAGAAAACGCATGCTTAATGCCACATGATCCCAAAGAAGAGAGAGGAAGAAGCTTATAAAAGCTTTTGTCTCCCTCCTCCTGCATTTCAATCTTTCATCTCCCCCTAAATGTCATTGTATTCTTGGGCCCCACCGCTACTCTAATTCTTCCTATATATCCTAGAAGAATCCTATGCCCAATTTTTTCCTAAATAATCTTTATTCATGTATGTAGGAATTGGATTTAATTTTTAAGCAATCATTTTCGATATATAATTTTTTTTTATATTTACATCTATTGAGTATTTTTGGATAAACTTTCATATCAATCGAAATTAAATCTATCATTTTTAAATTAGATTAGCATCAAATCATAATTACTTTATATTCATTCTAAAAGCTGTATTTTACAACTCACATCATTTTTATATCATCTCTACGTTTTCAACATCTCAGAAATAAATTGACAATTGATTCTCTACAAAATAGAACATCATCTGTTCGTGGGAGAGTACATGGACAATCAGATGGTAGAGTCCAGTTAACAAAGCAAACGATTTTGGTTTGCAACACTAGTGATATAGCTAGCAGCAAAAACTCCATAAAAACCTCTAAGATATATTCAACTTAGTTTATTACAAATAGATATCTGTCAATATAGTGTATACTAGCCCAATACTCGTGCATTATCACCTATATGTTAATATTTTAAATAATTTAAAAATATAAACATAAAATAAAAATTAATTAACACTCACTGTAAAAAAATTATTTAATTTAATATATATATATATGTGTGTGTGTGTGTGTGTGTAAAATTGAATTTAAATATATCTTAGGAATATTTTTTATTTTGATAAATAAAAAATACATGCAATTAATTATTTATTTTTTTAAAAAATAAAATTAGTAGGAGGTGTTTAATCAATTTATATTAGAAGAATATTTAATTTTAGTTAATGAATAGTTATAAAAGTAGAAAATGGTACCATTAATTTCTTGATTAAATAATAATTAATTACAGAAAAAACCCAATCCAGCAAAAAAATTATAAGGACTTTTTTATAATATTAATTAAAGTTAAGAAATGTTTTATATAAAGTAATAACTTAGAAGATCAAAGTGTAAAGTACTGAAAAAATGATAAAAAATCACTTAATTTTTTTTTAAGAAACAACGTCGTTTTGAATCTAAAAGACTTCAAACGACATCATTTTGGTTTCACTATGACAGCAGTTTAGCTACAGTAAAATTTCATTCTCTTTTAGTACATGTTATAATTTATCTAATACAAAACAATGAATATAAATATATGCAATTCTTACTCTTGCACTCACCAATTGTGAGCTATCTAACAATTTAATCCATGCCAATGAGCTTCTAATGCACTTTTTTCAGCATACATGGATGGTGTCTCTATAAATTGTTAACATTTGATTCCCAAAAATCTCCGGCCAAGACCTTGCCATGGTTTCACAAGGCATTATCGTATTTCTATTTTTGACTATTGCAAAAACAACTACAGAAAAGGCACACCCATTAAAGCACCAGCAGCAGCAACTAGGTATAGTACTCCTTCCTTTCCCACGGCAGATGCAAACTCCACCACTTCCAACAGACTGCAATAAAAGCACTTCAACTGATTATGCAAAGGAGTAAGCAATAAATTAGTCCCTCTAGTTTAAATTAATTAATTAATTAATCTTTTTTTGTTCTAAAAACTAATTATTTAGTTTTTATATTTTTAAATTTTCTTGTAATTTAATTTTTTTTTTTGTTTTTTTTCAATTTATTTTGATTTTTTTTTTTTTTGAAAAAAACCCTTGTCAACGAAATAAATAATTGTTTTGAAACAAGAGAAGCTAACTAATTCATTTATATAAAAAAAAAAGGATTAATTTATAATTTATTCTATACAAAGCAGTAAAAACACAGCACATGAAACCAAGGCAACAAGTCATCATTAGTTTCCAATGCAGCCATTCTTTCTCCTTTTCTTTTTACTTTATTTTTTCTCTCTTCTATTTTTATTTTTTTTGTGGAGTGCTAATGCGTGCAAAGACAAGGTTGAAGCGTGTAAGGAAAACCCATTAAATGAGTTTTAGGGCTCTGGTAGAAGTAGTACACCATAGCTGGATCAGTTTTCAAATTCAGAAGTCCTTGCACGTCAGCACTGTTTTTTCAGAGCAGTTATGAGGGTTAGCTGCTCTAGGTGAAAGATTCTGACCCCATCTGGGATCTCCATATTTATATTGTCATGATCCACTCCACAGTCTGCACCTACGAAGACTTTGCATTGAAAATGAAAAGTGATCATCGGCAGTCTTCATTTGTTGAAGTCATAACCAATAATGGGACTGGACTAAAATCGCATACAAATTTTATTTATCTAAAAAAATTTCCATCTCATTACTATATTTTGGCTTAAGCCTATTTGGGCATGAAATTGTACAGATAGCTAACTTTTTGGGAAATGGTTTCTGTTTCCATTGCCTTACACATCTGATTCAGGTCAGATTTGATTCAGCCTGGCTTCTACAAGTAGAGCCTCTTGTCCTGGCTAAATTATCAATAGTCTTACATGTGAAATTCAAGTCCATGATGGAATTTGAACCTACGGAAAATACCTTTGTTGCCTGTTAAAAACACAGGAAACATACACCATCTCAAGTTGTAACTGAAAACCGGGTCACTGGGGATGGAGGAATCAAGGTAGCTATGACCCTTAAGCGAGGCGAGTAAGGTTGGCACTTGAAAATACGCTCAATTCACCATATATAAACCGATCTCATCCGACCATTCAAAGCATAAGCTAAAACCTAGACGATCAAGTCGGGAATGGCACGAGGATTTAAATTTAAACAGAAGAACAGTGTTTTTGGTCGTGAAAAACATTCGTACTAATTGCAGGTTCTGCTCTCTCCAAAAAGACAGGTTCACATGGGACATCCCTGCTGATGATTCAGATTGACTAGGCGATTTTGAGGATAGTATTACTAGAGTCCCTGTCCTATTCAAATGGTACATTTAATCAGCACCAACGGCAAATATGAAACAGCTCTTAACACCATTTTCAAAATGGCAACAGTAACCAACTGTGATCATTATCTGACATAAGAAGAAATATGTTGCATCCTACACGCATACTCCCAGAAATTCAATGCTATATGCCAGCAGGAAGATTTGTTTACTCGAGCGGATAGTTAGTACAGCTACTTCATCCTAAAAAAAGCACTAAATTCTTGCCATGAACGCCAAAAACATTTGAAGAGACAACTTCCTCACGACCAAGAACTTTTAGCAAGAGTCTTAAGGGGGTCAAACCTCATTCTTTAATGAACATTTTTCTGAACTCGTCATTTGACTTTGGTTTTTCATCTCCTTCTTCCACTGTTTTTGACTTGTTTGCGGACATGCCAATTGTCATAACGTTTCTCGGCACTGCAAATATGTTCTTCCCCTTGAGCTGGATGTTGTCATCTGACTTGAGAGTAGCAGGCTGAGAAGCCTGATGTGCCCTTGATGCACTGTGGGTATCAACATACTCTTTGGAAGCAGATTCCCGGTTCTCTCTTCTTTGGTCACTAGCAAAACCTGCAAATTTTAAGTTCACGCATTATTGTCCAAAGCAAAACAAATAATCAAAGTTAAAGAATCAACATCTGGAAATGGAATTCAGGTACATATGTGCTCGCATGCATCATGCAAGATATAGTGTCAAAGCATTACAGCGTTTTTTTTTTTTTTTTTTTTTAACTAACTCGTCACAAGAACACATTGCCGGTCAGTAGCATTTATGAGAGCATTTAATTACATGATCCACTAATAGGCAAAAATACGTAAAAATAATTTTCTGCACTCATTAGTCAAAATTCAATACTGCAAGGAGAACGACAATAGGCAAAAATACGTAAAAAGAGTTTTCTGCGTTCGTTAGTATAAATTCAATACTGCAAGAAAAAATCTAACTCCCAAGAAAAGAAATTGAATTCTAGATCTAGCATTAAATATAAAATCCAAAAGGAGAGTTTTCGTCTACCATGACCAAGGTTTGGGGTCCAAGCATTGCCCAAGAATAGTTTAATCCAAGGTCATGGAGGTCATTAACATCCCACTCAAGGGACACGTGGAGCAATTATTATTCAACTGATGTGACTTCAATCTTTTTTAGTGACGCTTGAGCAGAAGGCTGGTGGGATCCCTATAACTTCTTTCTAGGGTCTTATATACATGTTAAAGGCCCATCTCTGATGGTACAGATATAGAAATTTAGGAAAGGAAGGATACTGCCGCATTCTCCCCCTGTTTGCCTTTCTTTCCCCTTTTGGATCTCTCTTTTGTTCCATCCCTTCTTTCTATTACTACTGAGGCCCTTCCTTCCGGTTTCTTCTCTACCATTTCCAGGCATCTCTCCATTTTAATTGGTTGTACTTCAAGGCTATCTGTGTGTGGAATGTCAGACAGTTTTTATACCAAGTAGAAGTCAGATATGAGACACATAGATACTACCATCCTCTCTTCTTTACCATACTTTGGTTTCATGTGACTCCTAGACTATCAATTATGGTCAGTGTCAAACTCAGTATGCTCATGTTAATATCTTAACTTTCTTGATCAGGCTGATTCTAAGGTTGTATGAAATGATTTTTATTTCATTTTTATGTTGTTTAATTTGAGCTTCAATATTAATAAAGCTTGCTCTTTAGACTATTCCCAGGTTGTATGAAATGATTTTTATTTCATTTTTATGTAGTTTAATTTAAGCTTCAATATTAATAAAGCTTGTTCGTTAGACTATTCCAAGGTTGTAATGCACCATTTATGCATATTTGCTTATTGTTTTTTATAGTTTGATTTTGGGCTTCAATATTTATAAAGATTACCCTTTATGGTTTCTACTAGTCCAAGATTGTAATGTTGGAAAGGGTATAATAATACCATTTGATAGTTGATTTGAGCATATGCAATTTATACATATTTGCTTATTATTGCAGGTTGCTAGTAAATAAGCCAAGTTCTCCAGTTTAATTTATAACCTTAGGACAGCATAACCTTGAGGCTAAAGTGTTCGATAACTTCAGCAACTAACCACAGAACTCTCTAAGCTTAAGGGATTCAACGAGCTGTAGTTGATATGGAACCAAAGAGAGTAATGGTATGCAACATGGACTGTCAAACCTACCTTGTTCCCGGGGAACTCTATGGCCATCTCTTCGGTTCTGTTTGGGATCTGACCGTGCAATGCTCAGCTTCTTCCCATGTAACATCTGCTTGTTCTTTGTTATAGCTGCAGCAAGGTGTTGATCATCCACAAAATCCACATAAGCCAGTCCCTTCACAAAGTCAACATAGGATATTGAACATCAGAATGCAATGTCAATAAAATGATACAAATTTGAAGCATTTCATGTTTTTTCATCATGACTAACGCATACTGGTTTTTCACTACCCCTTCTGCTTCATGCATATGATCTACTACATATTCTGTGCACGATGTATGAAGCATTTCCAGTGTATGGAAGCCCTAAATTCTGAATGGTTTTTTTTTTTTAAAAAAAAAAGAAATAGAAGTTGAAGAATCACCTCGTCCCAGCTAAACAGTAAATAAAAATGCCTAGATAAACCTTCTGTTAAGTTAAAAAAAAATCGGGTTCGTAAAACGTTGTATTTCCATCAACTGGCAATCACATGACAAGGCACATGTTTACATCAACTGATTCAGATTTTCAGCCTGTGATCTCTAATGCCTAACCAGATTTAAGTCTTCCACGAAATTTGCCATGAGACCCCTGAATGTTCCTAGAAGAGAATTGATAAGCTATGTGAAAGCAAAATGGAGAACAATAAAACCTTTCAAAAGCTTGAAATGAATGCAATGCCATTAAAAGTAGGTTGCTATGAGAAACAAAGTTTATATCCTTGCATTACGAGCCATGCTAGTTTAAAAAAATTTACTTGTAATTTCCCCTGTCACAGCACTAGCATGTTTTTGTTTCCTTAAGTTGTAAAGTTCAATGCTAGCTTGTACTCTCTCTTTTTTTCCCTTGCATCTCTTCTTCTTGGTGACATTTTTCTTCTGCTGGCCACACTCTAGGGTGCAATTTTTTCCTATTTATCTATAGTTCAATTGAAAATGAAGTGCAGACAATCCAAATCTTAACTCAGATCTTTGATATGGGACATCCAACTGAATTATCAAATTGCACTGCACTTAACAGCTGAAGTGACCAGCATCATATATATCTCTGAAAGCACATAATGGAAATCAAGGTGAAAAGAAAAGGCAGAAATGACAAAGGAAAAGATGTGTGCCTCCTTTGTGTGCATGAGAGAGAGAGAGACAGAGAGAGAGAGAGACCCTTGATTTTCCAGTATTTCTGTCGTGCAATATTCTAATAGAGGCCACCCCTCCAACATCACTGAAGAATTTACGTATATCTTCAGAATTTGCCTGCAAAAGTTTTCGACATTGAAATTATAACTTCCTATCCCCTCTTGTCAAAAACAAAATAGGGTTCTCCTTATTCCGGGCACTGATAGGATGGGAGGTGGTAGTTTACTTGCCTTGAAATGGAGATTTGAGATAAACACAGTGCACTGGTCTGTATAGCTTTTGGTTCTTACAAAGTCCGAGCCTTTCATCTGTTTTTCAGGGGCACTATCTGTCTTTTCAAGATCAATTTTTGCCTCTTGGGCCTCATTTACTCCATCATGTTTCTGCAATTGATCTTTATCCTTGTACCCTTTCTTTTGAGTTTGAGCTGTTTGCTTTGGCCGCTTTGCTGGAGACTGTTCGTCAGTAGCTATTGCACCCCCTTTCTCTTGTCACGAGCAATTTTCTTCACAGATATCTCACTCTGATCTGTTGATGCTTTTGTTTCCTGTTGTATCCTATACAACTGGAGCTCTTCTAGACGAGGTGTAACCTGAGAAAGGAGAAAGGCATAACATCTCTATCCAGTCAAAAACTGTCAAACAAACATGCTTCCAGGCAAAGAGATACAAGTTAAGATTGTATCAAGTTACATACGGCACAATATTTTTTATTCATTGAATTCGAGTGCAACAACTATTCCAAATTACTCAGTAGTATGAAATGGCTTTTAACTGCCACAATAATGATATAGGACTTTTATGTATTCTATCATATATCTGTAGGATAGCTGATAATTTCAAAATACACCAAACTATCTGCAACCCATAAATCTAGCCTTCTGGAAGAAAAGCTAGAACCAACAAAAACTAGAATGAAAACAGGTAAAAAATGAAGCTCATTAAAAAATTTAACGAAAGTTCCAGGAAAGTTATGGACAGAAGAGGCATTCAGCAAAGAAAATTAAGTTTCTAAAGGTCGTGGATTTCTCCACGATCACAATGTTTCACTCCATCAAAGGCTCAATGTTTCACTCCGTCAAAGGCTCTGCTATTCCTTCCCATCCACCTCTTAGACCTACAGCCAAACGGCATCTATTAATGATTTAACTTTGAGCTACTTATCACTAGTTGGTAGCCAAGACAGCACATTCTCCCGCACACCAAATCCTTGAATCATGTATTGTTGGCTAAGCAAATTTTCAACAAATAGTGCCTCCGATTCTTGCATACAGTGGACGTTTTATTTTGTCTCCACTTAAGAAAGTTCAAGCTGACACCATAGGCATTGCAATGCAAAGAGCTTTGCTTTCGAAAAACAGAAAAATTAGAAAACAAAACTTTTTTGTCCACAAAATTTTTTATGCCTATGGAAATTCACTAAATTCAAGGACAAACCACTGATGCACAACACTAGCTTGTTACTCAATATAATCAACAACAGCTCCCCTTTTTATGCAACAACAATTTAATCATGAAGTTTCTTTATGGGGACTTCCTCACACAAGATATCCAAACTAAACAATACTCATCTCCGACCTCCAATATACAATATGTGGAGCAAAATAAGTAAACTATTTGCTTTCATACCCATCTGCTATGAATCTGCTATGACCTGCTATATGTCATAACTGTCACTTTTCTCCCAAGCCTCTCTGAATGACAAATCTCCAAAGCCATTTTCTGGGAAAAGCAATCCAAGTCTTGACAAACCTGAACCACCAACATCAGTTGGAGAGGATGCTTTACCCAAAGTACCAAATCAAATTGTTGGAAGACTAGTTAATGCTCCATTCCATTCCAAAAAAAAAAAAAAAAACTGTGATTTACTCATCTCTCAGCTATCGAAATTGGGGTGTGAGAAAGTGACAGGGAATGGAGGAAGGCAGGACAATATTATCTCAAAAATAAATACTTTGGTTTTCGCCCTCCTCTCCGCTCTAATTCCAAAAGATCCCAAAATATTGTTGCTCGATGAGATGAAACTAATGGAAGACATTGTCTGTCCCAAAGTGGTTGTCGTCTCCGACTTTCACACAGATTAATAAAGTTATTAAGTGTTATTCCATATAGCATCTTTTGTTCATACTTTTCTAAAATACCTTTATTTTTAAGAATTGTAATCATGTATGATACAAAACCAATATTAATTAGGGACATTTTCGGAAAGTACACCACTTAAAGTTTTAATCAGAGCAGTTTGGGATTGATATAAATAGAAAGGCAGACAGTTCTTTGGGAAGGAAGGAGTAAATAGGAAGCATCCGTTTGTATAAAAATGCACATATGTGCATTAAGTTCATTAAACATTAAGTTCCATCATATTTATCAACAAAAGTGTACCTTCTGCGCAGCATGATCAAAATCTTCCAGTGTACCAAACTCCTCTTCAAATCGCAACCAAGAATGGCAAATGTCCTGAATGATTCTGTTAATTAGGAAAGGAAGGTATCATCTAATCCAAAATGCAGTATATGGCTATTGAGCAAAACATCACAAGTAAGAGATCCAAAACAACAGTGCCAACCAACAGAATGAGTGTATCCTAGATGCCACCATGTCAGTTTTACAAGAAAACTTAGCTAAACAAAAAATGATAAGTAACACAATCAGTCTTTTCTTTTATGCCTTAACTTGTGTGTGTATGGCTTAACACTTTCATACATGCATGCAAATTTTCAATACAAAGTCGTTTTGCCTATACTACAAAATAAGCCCTTGAAAATGATAATCCTTGTTTCAAACCCAAGATCACAACACCCCTCGCAAAAGGTTCCATTAACAGGCAATTTCTTTCCAAGTCTTAAACTCAAAAAATATATGTATCAGCACCCTTTTTTAAGTGATTATTATTTGTACCATTTCAAGAAATGCTATTGCCTAATGTAATTATTTACTAAGGAGCATGACATTAACAACAAATACAGTAAGATTTCAGGAAAACAGAGAACATGACAATCAGATACAATGCAACACTTGCATTTAAATTTATAATATAACTCACCACAATTAACCAAAACAATCACTTCCTTATGAATAGATCATGATTTCTTTCCATTCAGAACATTATAAAGCATAATCAGTTATTTCATTGTTTGTGCTTTTCAACCTGCAAGAAATTATCTGATTCCATGATTTCATTTCACAGATGATGCCGAATAGATAGACTAATACTTGGATATAATGTGGAGTTAGCCTAGTCTTGTTTTGATGAATCCAAGAAAGAAATTTAGCGGTTGCTCTTTTTCATTGTTTTGATGCACCAACTATAGATTTTGGTTTACTGGATCTTTTATATGGTATTTAGAAGCCAGTAGGTAACACATGCAATGTTTTATGGGTAAGGTAGTCAAACTACAGTTAGCCGGTAAGGTAAGACATGCAATGTTTTATTGGCAGGCTAGTTAAACTACAGTTAAGTTAATTGCCAATTTATGTCTTCATTTCATCAAAATTTAAGAGTATATTGCCTATTTGTCAAGTCTAAATTCTCCTAGGAAACGTCTTTGCTAATGGTCTGAATATTCTTTTATATTTTCCCACATGGAATCTTAATCTCTCCCACATGAAGAAAAGTCAAACAGATTTCTCTAAGTTGTCACGAATCATTTTTTATTTCAACATTAACTTCTGATTGCTTTCTGCTTCTCCGGGAGAAAAGAAAATATGGTATGCTTCATTGTGTCTATGAATTGCATTTTCACTGCTTGTTTAGAAAATCAAACAAGCATACTACTAATCCTAACAAATATGTATGTTATGCAAAACAAAAAAATATCATATGACAGAAAGTGTAGAAAAAACCATATACCTCTGAGCCTGTTCCAGCAAATCTTTTGCTATAGCATCGCTTGTATAAGGACCTAGCTTCACTTATGTGACCCGATTCAGTTTCCATTGCTATATAACCCTGCCAAGCTTCCACCAATGAACCACTGGAAAAAGAATTAAAAGCATTAAATTAAATTAGAGAATATAAAGAAAAATAGTCCTGCATAAAACAATTTAGGTAAAACTAGATGAATAGAAAGAAGAAAACAGTCAAAAGAACATATGGTCTGCCTGATCTTAAGCAAGCTCTCCCAAACTCCACGAGCTGCAACTAAATCTTTTCCCAAATTCATCTCTAGACGAGCCCAGTAAGCGTGTAGACGCAGCAAACCATCTGTGTTCTTTAGGTGTGGTGACAGGTAATCTGATGCATACTGCATGGAATACAATTCAGTATTAGGATTAAAAATAAATGAATGCAACTCTATAACTACTTGCTCAAATTGTATAACGAAAGCAAATTATAGAGAAATCATCAACACCACACACATTATCTACTTATACACAAATCATCCAAGAAGGCACCGTTAAAATTTAGAATAAAGATCTCTGTAAATCTTGAAGTATCTAAATCAATCTTTTTGGTGGTTTGGGGATAGGGAGATTGAATTTGGGCATGCTAACTGATGCAAGAGCTTTCTCTAGGATTTATTTTATTATATTTCTGATATTAGGGTTAGGTAACCCTAATATAAATAGGTCTATCGGGTTACTTCTATAATAGCTTTTTGTTATTTTATCACTCAATTCGGATTCTAGAGGTTTCTTATAAACCCTAAATTCTATTATCTTGTTCCAACTTCAATTTTATCTTAATTTCAGCCACTAATCTGCTGATGTTTTCCTCTTCCCACACTAAGTCACTAACAGCCAGGACTTAAGGCTTCAGTCTTCTACTATTTGACCAATGCCTCAACAGCTAAAGCAATTCAAAGCAACTGACTTAAGAGAATCCTACTGAAACTCAAATAAGCAATACCTGGATATCTAATTTTGGAAAGAACAAAGGGTACCATCCAAGGAAATGCATTGAAACTAGGCATGTTAAAAAAAAAACACACTGAATAGACAAATCAAACCAGTATCGACCCAAATTGGTTCCTATACATGTGGTAGGTTACCAAAACCAAACTGGTAACCCCAAAAAACATATTTAAATACAAAAGCAAGATTAATTTATAAATTTTTAAAAGATTCTAATTTCCAGACGTTATTTATGTTAACCAAAAATTTATCCTCAAAAAGTGATGAAAGCATTCTTTAATCTCTCTGCATGATTCATGTATATTTTGTTTCTGAATGATTAAGTCTATGTGGTATTAAACTGATGGTTATGATTCAAGCATAAAATGAATTATGATTCACCTACATTTTATTTATAAATCATTAAGTCCATGTAGTATTATCTTAATGGTTATGTTTTGAGCATGAAATGAATTCAAATCTCCTTCATGAGTACACAGTGAACATTCAAAAGTTGCCAAGCTCAAAAAGAAAAGGAAAGCATGCGCACAAACTGCTCCATAACATCAATACCTAGATTGCTAGTATAAGAATCAGAGGGAAGTCCCCTTCAGATCAAGTTACAGGATAACGCTTAGACCCAACTAAATCCAACTGTAATGCAGCCACAGACAATTCAAGGCATCAATTGACTCAACTCTCGCTCATAAGTTCGTATCTTCTTGGCAGGTCAAAACATTTCTCTAATGTTTTAATGATGTAGTAGACCAAGAAAAAAATGCAATAAATAGAACAAATGTGTGACTAGGCCAAATTTATTGAATAAAAAAGACACTGCAATGCGATCTTTAAATTCAGCACCTAATAACTAAAGTTTACAAGTTATAGTTGGTTTCGTGGGTTAGAAGCTTGGAGAATAGTTTATATGTTAGGCTAGGTTATGTTTTTTTAGTAGTTATGGCTTTCCATATTCGTATCATACTATGCAATTCTATCAGAAGGCAAAGGAAAAAAAAGGTGTAAAAGCATTATACACAGCACGTTGTTACAAACCTGAAAAGTTTCCCTTATTAATGAATAATCCAAAACACCATTCGCTTCACCACCAAATACAATTCTCCTCCTCAAACCATGTACTCGTGTTAGAAACAAATCCAAGTACTGAAACAAATACAGGTCACTAAATAAACAAACAAAACCGATGCAAAAAGGAAACAATGACTCTAAGACGTGCAAAATAAATTTTAAAAACAAGGAATTAGGTCAGCTTGTCCTTTTATTTTAGCCCACTCTGCAATATGATCTTACAAATCTATTGCTCTAAATTTGTCCCTCAATATAAAGCTATTCTTCAATCTATCCTTTTATCAAATATTCTCATCAAAACTAACATAACTGCTCTAATGTGAGAACTTCAAATTTCACATGATTTATTATTAAAAAAATGAAGAAAGAAAAGGAATCTTTAATATCGAGTAACAATTAGTTTTTTTTTTCCAAATTTTTGTTTTAGAAAATCAAGCTGGGGTTTGAGTTTCTCACGTTAGTTTATCGGTTTAGTTTGCATGAAAATATTTTCCCGAAGGATAGATTGGAGAATGACCTAAAATATAATAACAAATTGAGAGCAACTAGACTTGTAGGATAGACTGAAAATCGGGCCTAAAACATAAGGAACTTTTCAAAAATGTACCTCCTCAATTGTTGAAAAAGTGCATTGCAGAGACTTTTCATAAACCTGAAATCACGGAAGAAGATCAAATGAATAACTTAAAGAACATGTTTTAAGACTGCATATTTATAATATGAACAGAAAAGAATCAACGGCCCGCAAATAGCTAGAATTTTGTTGTCATTAGATACAGAAGGAAAGAGACATCATCTGTCATGTGAAGCTAAAGGGATTGGAGGAAACATACAGAAGATATCTCCTTTTCAGGAGCCCGGCCACGTTCCAAGGAAAGCAAATACTGAACCCAAAGCTCTCCAACCCAGGGACAATTTTTTGTTGCCCTGGAATAAACATCCCTCAGAACATTTCCAACCTGGAAAAGGAACAAATTGTGTAAATAATCTACAAAATTGGAAGATGGAAAGCCTTGAGAACAAAATTCACATGACAACCTTCAAGGTCCTGTCCAGATAGCGAGTATAATCAAGCCAGAGATCACTTGATACAGGAAAGTCAGTCATAGCACGCTCGTATAAAACTTGAACACGAGCTGGATCGCCCGCAGACTTTTCAAATTTTAAATAGTTCTGCAAGACCAATAAGCATGAATCTTTCTTTAGAAAATAAAAAATAACACAACAAAAATGGGGCACCTAAATAAATTGAGGCTCTAAGAAAAAACAGATAAAAAGGAGAAACTCTTGTTCTAACCAGAATGACCAAAATGCATTTAAAAGTAGATGCAATTCAAATTGAAGGAATAAAGCAAGGTAAAGTTTGTGACAGTCAGCAACTTTAAACAAAACATAATCCACTCATTTATATATTACAACAACAATGACCTGAAGGGAACAAAAACGAAGAATAAGTCATAGTACAAGTAGGATCACAATGAGCTATTAATTATCAAAAACTCTATTCAATTATAACAGTATCCTACATACCATGAAATTTTGAAATTTTTCTGTATCAGATATATTCTGCATAGAAATCTGTTCTTCATGCTGAGCACGAGCATTATAAGCTTCCATGGCCTTTTGGTATGCTGAGGCAAGATGAGAAGGTATACCGTCAACTTCACTAGATTTGGCATCAAGATCAGTCCCTTGTTCCACCTCCCAAGCCTTGTAAGCAAGGAGTGTTGACTGCAAGTTAACAAGTGGAACAGACAATTGCCGGTGGAAAATATTTCGAACCCGTTGGACCTGCAATTCCTTTGCCTGAAAACAAGAATATGAACTCTTAAATGTATGTATAGAAGAATCTTAAAGCTAATTATTTAAACATCAGATACCATTAATTCCATAAAACTTTCTTAAGAAATAAGTGGGCTACTAGGAACTGACGAGCACCACAAGTAGAAAACTGAAGACACCATTGCACTTCATAGTCAGCAAAATCGTGAAATGACATGGGTGACCACACCTCTCTCCGCAGAGAACAAACCAAAAGTTCAATATACCCAACAACTTAAGAGCTCTTAAGTATGTTTCAGTAGGAGAAAAATACCATGACAGAACTTCCTTTAGGCAATGAAGCAAAAGTTATATTTGGAATTAATTAATACTTCATTCTTTTCCTTTAATCACTGATAAAAGCATTTCAAGAGAAAATTCTAACCCCTCAATGTACGAGGAACTATCTCTGCATAATGACTGAAAGCACACAAATAAAAGAACATGAAACAACCTATGGTACAAATTCCACATTGGGAAGATTATAACCCAAGTTAAATGAAATATGTGTCTCTTTGAACCTGCTTCACATCAAACTTCTTCAGGTGATTTAAATCAAATTTTAGAAACTTAAGAACTTGCATCAATGTAGAATTCATCTATTGGAAGCATCTGGAGTTAGAAATTGCATCTGCCGGGTTCAAGGTAAAAGTTCTTCTGAGGCAACATGAGTTAAGTATCACCATCAAGTTGAAGATTTATCAAGTATCATGTTTCATCAATTAATTCTAATCTTTGCATTTTTCTTGTGATCTCATGCAGACCTGTATCAAGTTACAGACTAGGCCTTCAGGGCTCCAACAAGCAACAGGTGTGTGGTGTTGGAGTGGTTGATTTAAACAAGGTGAAGTGGAAGAAAACATGTCAAAGAATTTTTTTCACTGGCAATTCTTATCAGACTTGGTCATATTTATCAAGTTAGCAGCAACGGCAGCTTCTCAGGTCATGTTGGAGTAGAAAATAGAGGTTCAAAGGGTTTACTCAAAATTCTTGAGGTGAATTAATTTGCTCAGGTGGATTAGTTTATTAGTCGTCACCTTAAGACATGCCTAATCCGCACCATTTTTTTTTCCAATGTATCACGGTTAGTTACAGAAGTTAATAGCAAATCTATGATGCACCATTCCAAGCTCCAAGATTGTCAGACTTTAACTCATCTATGCTCTTCGACTAGGGAAACAGAAAGAACATATAATGAATTGTTCAAAAAAAAAAAAGATCTGGCAAATACAAAGGCAAATTTTGGCAGCGATGGATATGGGCGCTTCGGATATCAGATGCGAGCAAAATAAACTGGAAACTGGGTATAGACAGTTAATTCCAACCTTAATGTCACTCTCGTCAATGGTATGCAAAATAGCCTGTTCAAATTCCCTGTATGCTTCCCAAATTTTATTGCCTTCAGCAACATGCACACCAGCAGCAGTAAGAGCACGCTCAAAGAGGTTTCGGGCCTTCGAAATTCCATCAGGAGAACATGCACGCACTGAAGGATCATGTTCTTGTATGTAATTCAAGTAGTCACACCAAAGAGGAACAGACTGCATTGAAAAAGGGTATAGTCAACTATTTCAACTTTTGAAGCAATGAGCTATAGAACACATGCAGTTAATTAATATGTAAAGAGAATCACTACTGTGAAAATTTCAGCTTCAATTTTCTTAAATTCAAAGATTGAGATTCATCTTGTTATTTCAGATAGTAAATACTGGAATTTAATTTTTATTTTTTTCTTTTAGCTGAGCAAGCCACAAAAAATGACATTAGTTGAATAAACACAAGGTCTTTTTATCCTATAAATGCTTGGCAGTGAAATAAAGCAAGAATATAAAAGAAAAAAGTCAAAGATAATTCTGAAAATCTAAATCATCTGCAAGCAACACAACAAGATAACGATCCTGATTCCTGAGAGCATAGCATTCCATTTTTGAATTTGGGTATAATCAAAATTGTTTCTTCCATTATCAAACAATTGTCATTCTATGAATGCGCACACCATAGAGGTTAGTACAGTATCCAAGAAGCACAAAAGGTCTTGAAAAATTTAAAAACTTACACCCTAAAGTACTACTAAAAGAGTTGAACAAGAACACACCAGATAATCAAACACACCACGGTCATAAATCTTCTCAACCGCCACAAAACCCTCAGGCCTGGAAAAAAAATCAATCAAAGAAACATGCAAGGAATCAATTGGAGTCAACAATCACCAGGAACAATCAAGAAACATAAATTGCATAACAAAATAGTCATTGAAAATACACAAAATAAAAAATAAAAGTACCCAGAAATAGAAGCTTCATCTTTCGCCCAATCACGCCACATTTCAGGGCTTAATGGAAACACGGTGTTCATGGCTTCTCTTGCTTGTCTAAGCTTATCTATCTCTCCCATTTTTCTCAACAGTTTTATGTACTGAAAAACAGCAGCATCAATAAATACAGTAAATTTATTTTATTTTTTAAATAGAAGCTGAAAGAAACAGGAATTGGTGTTAATTACTTGAACGTGAGAATCATAATTGGCGGGGTTACTGGAGAGCTCAGTTTCCAGGGTTTCAAGCTCTTGATTTTGCTGCGATTCATCTTCTGAGTCGGAATCGGAATCGGAATCGGAAGAAGAGGAACGGGGTTTAGGGCTCTGAAGTTGGTCTCCGTTGTTGTTGTTTAGTTCGTCTTCTAGGGTTTTACTTTCGCTGTCTATCTCCATGGTTGCTTTGAGAGTGATGGAAGTGAGGGAGCAGTAGCTTATGATTCTGCCTCAAAATATTTTTCAAAAAACAAAAATTGGCCGTTTGTATGCCGAAATGTCAATTCCTTTTGGAATTGAATTAGATGGAAAATGATTTCGATAAAATGGATTAATTTTCAAGTATCATTAAAAATGAATTAGCAACCATTTTCCATTGTCTTGGAAAATAGGGTTTTTTTTTAATAGTGCTATTTTTTCAGCTATTAACTTTTTAAAAATAGTGCTACGAAATATCATTGCATGATCGGTGAACATTGAAAATTAATTTTTATTTTTATTTTTATGTATATTATTTATTATGTATGATTATTGTAAATAAAAAACATATGCTTGTTTGCTAGACACGTTGAATTTAATTTATGAAATTTATGCTTCCAGAGATGGAAATTGTTTGTCAAGCCCTAATTATTGCTTGGAATATAGAGTACATGAAAGTGGCGGTGGAATCTAATTCCAAAAAAAAAACAGTTCCTGCTATTCGAAATAAGATCTCGTCTTTATGATATTATGATATTTATTATCAATATCAACGCCAATAAACAGTGTGATTTAGTCATACTTTGAGTAAAAGTAACAATAAAACAGATTTTTTTTTAAATAAGAGTGGCTCTTTTAACACCATACTATTTTAGATTTAGTATTATCTTTCATCGGATCTTATGGATATTATTTTTGGTAATACTATTGAAATCTCTTCTCTTTTTTGTTTTTTATATAACGTAGGTGTTTGGGCTAATTTATATGCACCTCGATTAATCTCACGGTCCCGAAGTTAACGACCATATAAGTCTCCAAGTGGCCACCAAAAAGAGCAAACAAGACTCAAACCTAAGATCACAGGAGGAACAAACCCCTTAATATCAAATCCTTGCCGCTACATCACCCCTTGGTAGTTACTATTGAAATCTCTTTCAAAGCCTAGTTGTGTACATTAGTTTTTTCTACACCAAAAATGGTGATAATATACGAAAATAATGATTTAGCTCTACTAGCCGACAGCACACCTATATGGTATTTTCACAGACATGCTTAATCAAATATTATTATTTTATTTTATTTTATAGGTTATATTGTCAATTTAATAATCTGATAAATATTAGTATCAAGCTCATAAGATAAACTCTACGAAATCACATTTGTGGTAGAACTCATTTTTTCTGGATCCGCTATTTTACAATGAATATGTTTTATTTTGTATTGGACCCATAAAATAATTTACATAATATACCATCAAAATGATATATATATATATATAGCCTAGTGTCGGTGGGGTTGTATGTTTATAGTTTATAGCTTTTATGTTTAGATCTTGTCACGAGCTAGGGTTATTTTAAAAAATATCTCACAAAACACTAAGATGTTTCTTCACAAAACAATTTTAAAAAATCGAATCCGAGTATTTTTTTAACCAACGTTTTTAAAAAATTCTATCAATTGAAGATTGATATTTTTACAAAAATCTCATTAAAATTATGCAAAAGTTTATATATATATATAGGTGCTGCTACCCACGTCATTTCACGATTCAAAGACTAAATACTAAGATTTTTAATCAAATCCTATTATTTTTTATTTAGGATTCTAATTGATATATACAAGAGTCGATCACTTTTCGTGCTTGAAGTTGTAGCCTAACGATTGAGGGTTTGCTCGATGACCACTTGGGTTTGACTCTCTCTACGCACGTCCGTCACCCCCACGGCGCCTTACCTATCCATTGAGCTTACGGGATGTTCAATGGGTCAATAAATTAATCGTGATACGTGCAAGCCGACCCGGACATCCCGGGTTAATAAAAAAAAAAAAAAGAGTCGATCACTTTCCATCATCCCTTTTGTTTTAGACGTCACCGGCAACGAGAGAGAAGCGAGTGAAGTTCCACCAAAGTAACCGGGGGCGAGGAAAAGCAAACAAAGTGACGGGATCTAAACCAAAAAAAAAAAAAAAGGCAAAAACCATTTAAATAAATAAACAAGGGTGCTTGAAGAAGAAGAGGAGATAAAAAGGACTAATGCAAAAGTGTGAGAAGACACAAATGGAGGATAAAGGCAACAATGACAGAATTGTTATTATAATAACAAACGAGGGGCAAAAATTATAAACACCGTTTTAAATAAAAAAAGGTGAAACGAATAAAAAACATAAGTTATGAAGTACGAGTAAGATGAACGTTTAAGGAGTATTGTGTTTTAGAGTTTTTATAATAATAAGGTTTAATAATGAAATGTAAAAGTATTATTCATGCTCTTAATTGTAAGGAGGTCTAATAGTGGGTGAGTATAGATTTTGCCTTTCTAATTTGTAATGCTATTTGACAATTATGAGTATTCATTTAGTTTAATTAATCTTTGAAAACTAATAATCATACCTAATTTAATATTACTTGATTTTTTTTAAAAAAAGTTTTTCTTTTCTTATCAATCTTACTATATTATCTTTTTTCTCTTTTTATATTTCTTAAAACAAAAGAAAAAACATGAAATGAATGAAAAATATCAAATTACAAATAGATTTAGAAACATAAAAAACTATTTAATTACTTTTACGTGCTTGTTTGGTAGTCGGTAATAGAATGGTGGAAATGAGAATGGAAGTTTTATTCCCATATTGTAGTTGTTTGGTTAAAAATAATGAAATGAAAATAAAAATAAAAATTTACATATAACTTTATTCTCGCACAAGACGTGAGAATGAAAATTAAGAAATGGGAATGAATTTTTTTCTTCAAAATAATAATAAATTTTATTTATTTATTGTTTATTAATTACTTTTATCACCGTAACAACCACTACCATCACCACCGCCGTAACTATTACCACGACTATCACTAGAACCACAATTACCATAAACACCATCACAATAACCATCACCACTATCATCATCTTTATTATTTTTACAATTATTATAGTTTGATAAAATTATTTTTTTAATCATTATTTTTATTTGTATAAAAAATCAGATATTAAAAAAATTTAAATTACATTTCGATTTTTCATTAGCATTCCAAACATAGTATGAGAATACAAATATCATTCCAATTCCCGCATTCAAATTCTGTATATTTCATTTCTTATCACCAAACGACATCTTAAAACTAAAAAGATTAATGAATTTATTTTGTAGAACTAGAAAAACTAATTTATAATTTGATCTTATATAACGATTTTTTTATATATAAATTTGTAAAAAGATTTTTTTATAATGAAACATAAAGAATATTCACATATAATAAATGGACAATAAATTGGACCATATTACACCATTCCCACTGTCTCTGTTTTTTATGTTTTTCTTAAATAAATTTTCTTAAGGACAGCTGTACTCATAATTTCCTCTATTTATGCTCTCTTCCTCGCCCACTTTCCTCTGCCGTATCAAACTCTCAAAACCCTTATTTTACCAAAAGTGAAGTTTGAGCCAATTCTCAGAAAAATATACCATCGAAAAGACAGTGGTTGTTCAAGCTGGTGTCTTTATGAGCTTATGATGATGATGATGATCGATCCATCATCGTCAGCTCATCAAGACACCATATTGAACAGCATCTGTGATGGTGGCATGTGAATCGCAATGGAGGAAGCTGAAGCAAACGGAGGAGATGATGATGGTAAAGTTATTAATTAATGGTATAATATATGCTTTTATTGCTTATGTTAATTTTGGGCTGTGAAGCTTTTCGGTTGCCCAGAAAGTCTTGGGGGCTTCAACAACTGGGTCATTCTCATCTGCATCCTGTATATTTAGGAAATTACTCACCGTATCTCTTCTCTTGGCGTGGCTAAGATGTCTGCCTGCTAATCTTATCAGCTTTTCTACTCGTTGCTTGTGTAGTTTGTTCTTTATCTATATCATGATGCCCAATATTTTGACATCTAAATTGATTGTCCCTGGGATTCAGTCTTTTCGAGGGGTTGGAAAAATATTGGTGGTGATGTCCTTTAAAGTCCGGTAAGCATGAAATACAAACAGCGGTGTTGGTGATATCGGTTATTCCGGCGAAGCTATTTCGTTGATTAAATCAATGTAGTGTAGGTACGACAGAGCTAGTTCTCTATTAATCAATCTTGTTTAATCTCTATCGGTTATTCCGGCAAGACTTAAAAGCTATGCCTTTTTGCCAAAATAGTTCAAAGAAAACATGAATGATAAACTCAGTAGTGAAGAAGAAAGTAGAAAAGAAAAGCACAATTACTGCCGAAGAACATCAAATTTATTACAATAAGAACAAGATACAAAAGAGTCATGACAATCACTCGCAGTATTTCAAGGCAACTTGCTTTCCTCACCATGTACCTATGCTTTATTACAATACATTTCCAAACATAGAACGAGAGAGCAAGAAAATCTCACATCTCAGCTTTTGTAGCCTTAACTATATTTATTATATGATATACACTGCAGATTTAATAAATTATATAAAATTATTTTATTTTGATATTTCGTGTTATATTGTGTGTTTATTAAAATACATTAAATTTTATATTTTATTTATTGTTTTTTATATCTTTCATAAATTTTTTATAAAAAAAATTATTTAATAGTATAAAGAATGGTAAAATCAATAAATTTTTAACTAAAAATTTATTTTGTAATATTTTTTTTGTTTTCAATTTTTTTATTAAAAAATTAGAGAAAAAAGGGATCAAAATGATAAAAATAAAATAAAAAAATCAAAACTAAATAAAAAAGATTTTGTGAATTAAAAAGTTCATATTCAAAATAGATGTATGAAAATGCAATGTTAGAAAATTTTTTATTATAAATAGATTAAAAATATTTAAAAATTATAAAAATATTATTGTATTTTTAAAATACGTGAATAATGAAATAAGTATATAAAAATAGTATTTTAAACAGTAAATGAATAGTAAAATTAATGTTGTTATTTTAGTTTTATTTACAATATGCTGATGAGAGGAACCGTGCTCAACAATGTTAATAACCTTAGGCTTGCTCCTTTGCTACTAAGCAAATCTGGGCACCGTAATCTTCAACACACCATCTTCAAGATGGGCTTTAATGTGATCCAAATCTGCACTTACAGGCAACCTGAACTGCCTCCAAGACTTTCCACCCGTCTTCTCAGCCCTCTGCCATTTCTCTCCAACCTCTTCTTCTTCAACCTGAAATGCGCCTAAGCAAGTTGCTGTTCTTGGTTTTTGTGCTGGCCGGGCTCTGCTTTTTTTATTATCTTATTTCTTGCCCACGCAGCATCTTTGGGAGGCTGTGCGCCTTTCCTGGGTGGTTGGTTTGGCTGGACATTCATTAGCTGTCATCGCCAGCTTCTTGTGATCGTTTATCATATTTTTTTAGTTCGCTTCATTTAAGAATGAAAGGGACAAAAACAGTTGTTGTCGTTCAGCAAGGGTAAATTATAAATTAGTCTAAGAGGAACAGGTTAATTATTATTATTTTTTCAAAAATAAACAAAAGAGAGAAAAGACACTATAAAAATGCACCAGCAAGCCTTGATCTAAAAAACATATGACATCTTTTGCAATGCAAGTCGCTTACCAACCATCAAGATCAACCGTGCACCTGTAAGGGAAAAGGAGTGGTTGGTATTGGAAATAAGATACTGAGGAGTGAAGATAATGCGGAAATTTTGAGGCCTCTTAAATGCTTTTATTTTGCTTTTGAATCACAGCATAACTTTCTCTTTTTTTTTTTTTTCCCTTTGTTTCTATAGCGTGGATTTATAAAATAATTATTATACATATTATTAATTTTTTTTAAATATTATAAAATTTTTGATGTGACGGTGATGATCGACCTTTTGTCTAAGCATGTTGCTATTCTTGGTTTTGGTTACTAATTTTTTTCTCACTAGTTAATGATGAAACATCGCATAAATTTCTTGTCCCCACACACCAAGTTAGGGCGGCTGTGCACGTGGGCTGGATGGTTGGTTTAGCTGTCCTCGCCAACTTATTGTGATAGTTAATCATATTTTTCACGAAAGTTCACTTCATTTGATAACAAAAGGAACAGAAACAGTTGTTGTCATTTAGCAAGAGTAAATTATAAATTAGGCTAAGAGAAACATATTAATTAGTTTTTTTTTCAAAAATAAATTAATTAGTCGTTATATTTTTTTATTTAAAAAATAACCATTTTCTTTTATATTTATTTTGATTTTTAATATTGAGAGATAAGAAATAAGAAATAAAAAATATTGAAAGATTTGGACTAATTTATATTGATTAAGTGTAATTAATATTGATTAAGAAATTAAATAATTATTTTTTAAAATGAAAAAAATGATTAATTTGTTTCTAGAAAAACAAATGGACTGATTTATAATTTACTTTATTTAGTAACGATGGCAGAAGACATGGTGATGTGATCACATCATTATGGTTTGACTTCTCTAGAATGACAATTTGGAGAGTTAAATTTTAAATTCATTGTTTTAATCATAACTTTTTAAAGACTTATGGATAAGAATTTCATTAATTTTTTTTATTAGTTTTCAAGTGTTTATTTCGAGTACTTCGGAAAAAGTTTTCTAAATCTAGCATATATTCAATAAGATGGTAAATTTAATAATTATTTTGTTTATTGAATTTTTTTGAAATCTCTAATTCCATTTGATAATTAAACAGAAAATTAGCTCTCCTTCTTAAAAGTTGACCAATTTGGTGCTCTTGTCTAATAAAAATAATTTAATTTAATCCTTAAAAACAAAATTTAACTTAGTTTGCATATCTGTGCGTTCTGAATATTTTTTATCTACTTTTTTTTTATCAAAAAATTTGATTTTTACGAATGGGTGAGTCTAGATTCTATTTCTACTAATTTACAGTACCATTTGACTATTATGATTATTTATTTAATTTAATTATTTTTTTTACCAATAACGATAATATTTAATTTAATATTATTTTATTTAAAAAATATTTTTTTCTTATCAATCTTATTATATTATCTTTTTTAATCTTTTAATATTTCTTAAAAAAAAAACCTGAAATGGATCAAATTACAAATAGATTTAGAAAAATAAAAAAATACTTAATTATTTTTAAAACTAAAAAGTCTATTTAATTTATTTTACAAAACTAAAAAGACTAATTTATAATTTAATCATATATAACGATTTTTTTTCTTATAAATTTGCAAAGAAATTTCTTTTTAAACGAAAACATAACGAATACTCACATATAATAAATGGACAATCAATTGGACCATATTACATCATTGCCACTGCCTCAGTTCGTGATATTTTCATTAAATAGATTTTCTTATGGACAGCCGTACTCATAATTTCCTCTATTCATGCTCTCTTCCTCACCCACTTTCCCCTGTCGGATCTAACCCTCAAAACTCAAAACCCTGGTTCTCGCAAAAGGGAAATTTGAGCCAATTCTCGGAAAAATATACAGATAGTAAAGACAGTGGTTGTTCAAGCTGGTGTCTTGATGAATTTAGGATGATGATGATGATCGATCCATCATCGCAAGTTCATCAAGACACCATATTGAACAGCATCTGTTATGGTGGCATGTGAATCGCAAGGTCGGAAGCTGAAGCAAACGGAGGAGATGATGATGGTAAAGATATTAATTAATGGTATAATATATATATTTGCGTTATTACTTGTGTGAATTATGGTCGATGAAGGTTTTTGGTTGCCCAGATTCCAGAAAGTCTTGGGGGCTTCAACAACTTGGCCATACTCCTTTGTATCCAACAACATTCAGGAAACGACTTACTTTATCTCCTCTCTTGACGTGACTAAGATGTCTATCTGCTAATCTCATCAGCTTTTGTACTAGTTGCTTATGTTGTTTGTTCTTGTCCATATCACGATTCCCGATATTTTGACATCTGAATTGACCGTACACCTGGGATTCAGTCTCTTCGAGGGGTTGGAAGAATATTGGTATGTCCTCTTTAAGTCCGGTGAACATAAAAAACAAAGATCGGTGTTAGTGATGCCGGTTATTCCGGCAACTCTATTTGGATAACTGAATCAGTATTTCTTGCAAACCTATTTGGATATAACAATTATGAAAAGATCCAATTCATGAGCTTCGAGGAGAGCTCGAATTTCATATCCCATCACCATCGTCCTCTTATCTGTGTCTTTCTTTTGATCAAAGCATGTACTGTACCGTTTTAGGTACTGCAATTTCCATACCTTTTAAGTTAAGACTAGAGAGAGATGCCTTTTTGCCTGGAATTTCCATAAGAGCCAATCCTTTTTGCCAAAATGGTTCGAAGAAAACATGAAGGATAAAATCAGTAGTGAAGAAGAAAATAGAAAAGAAGAGCACATTTACTGTCGAAGAAAGAACGTCAAATTTATTACAATAAGTTCAAGATACAAAACAGTAACAACAATCACTCACAATATTTCAAGGTAACTTGCTCATCCTCACCATATAGCTATGCAATACATTTCCAAATATAGAAGGAGAAAGCGAGAAAATCTCACATCTCAGCTTTTGTAGCCTTGATATCCTGACCAGAAGAACCCTGCTCAACAATGTTAATAACCTTAGGCTTGCTCCTTTGCTCCTCAGCAAATTTGGGCACCGTAATCTTCAACACGCCATCTTCAAGATGGGCTTTAATGTGATCCAAATCTGCATTTTTAGGCAACCTGAACTGCCTCCAGAACTTTCCACCAGTCCTCTCAGCCCTATGCCATTTCTCTCCAGCCTCTTCTTCAACTTTTCTCTCTCCACTCATCCTCAGCACCCTGTTCTCTTCCACCTCTATCTTGATATCACCTCTCTTCATCCCAGGAACGTCCAATGATATCAAATGTGCTGCTGCCGTTTCTTTCCAGTCTGCTCGTGCCAATGCCAAGGCCTCGACCCCTTTTGGAATTGTTAGCGGGGTTTGTTCAAGGATCCTGAAGGGGTCTTCCCCTGGAAGCATTATGGTGTCCCATAAGGACCTTGTGTATGGCATCAGTGCATTGGCTTGTGTGCCCATCAAGGCTAGTAACATTGTTGTTATTGCCATCGTAAGAAATGTCATAGTTTTGGGTCTTGGGTTGGCCATTGTTGCAACGACGAGGCTTGATCGGCAAAGAAAAGTTGACTTCTTGAAGAATGAAGTTGTAGTAATTGGTTTCTTGCTCACTTCTCAGGGAGGATTTTGTCGGTGTAATAATTGTGTTTGTGTTTTCCTGGGAGGAAGGAAGGAGGGAGATAGGGTTTATTTATAGGTTGGACTGGGGAGTGTTTCCGGATTATTCTGGTGCGAAGTTTAGAGCAATCTAGAGAAAATTTTGGTTCCATTTGCATGGTGTTTGATACGATTTTTTTGAGCTGGAACGTTCCCGAAGAAAATTGGGTCCGCAGGGCACAGGTTGTTTATGAATAAAATTGAAAAAGAGTTATTACGTGGCACGTTAAGAGTTGTATTCTGTTGTAAAAATATGGAATTGATTATAAAAATAATTTACGAGCTCTATGTTTTTGTGAGAAAACAAAATAATGATATATCATCTGGCCATATGGAATTTTAATTTTTTTTGATGATGAGTTTTATGAAAATCTTATGATGAAAACAAACAAGAAAATTTATAATATTCAAGATGTAATATTTATTTTGCGTAAAAGAATCGATAAAAAAAATAATAAGAAAGAGACAGGAAAATTAATTTTTTTAAAATTACTAATCAAATATTTGAGCCAAATTTCTATCAATTGTTTCATTATTTAATGATGCATTCTTTGTTTTAGACTATAAAATTCTGGTTTTACTCATTCTTAGGGAAAAAAAATTCGTTTCTAAAATATTTTGCTGTATTTTTACTACTAAATACCCAAATTGTCTTTATATTCAAAAACTAGACAAAGACAATAATTTGAGAGCGAAAGTTTCCTCTCAAATTGAAAATATACGATCATAATTTAATAGATTCGGATGAATGACTCTGTCATGTTATCAAATAATAAAAAAGCAATAGACAGAAAAACATTTGATTGATAATTTTGAAAAAATCAATAATCTCAACAAAAAAAAATTAAAATTCATATACTTAACTGAGAAAATGTTAAAAATTAACGTAATTATAAACCAGTTGTCCCAAAGAAATAATCTAATTCCAAAGATGATACAGAGTACTATTGGAGAGAACAGAGTGTTGGGATGTGAGAATAGCTTTTCTACCATATAGCAGCTTCAAGATGACATCTATACCTTCTTCTGGTGCGAAACCACTTCGAGAAGATTCATAACAAAAAAGAACTTGTGCAGTGTACCCATTGCAATAAGTATCATGGATTCGGCAGTAAAAAGAAAGAGAAAAAAGATGGAGGAAAAAAATACCTCATCTGTTGGAAAACTTGTAGCAGAAAGAGACGGGAGTTTCATCGGATATATGATGGAATTGCTTTATTGCACGACACCTAAGTCGTGAAATGGTGAATAAAATAAAAGAGAAATGGATCAATTCAGTTCTTGATGACATCCTTAAATTTGATGATGCAATCCAATGCTTGCTCAAACTCGCTTTCTTCCAAGGCAAGTGTGAAGCGGCAGTAGCCTGGAATTCCAGTCCATAAGCCACTGTTGATACATAAACCTGTGGATTTGACCATGGCTTCCCTGATATTTGAGTCGTCGAGTTTCACTTCATGGGTACTGGTAGCTTTCCCGTCGTCTTTAGGCGAATGCGTGATCTTAACAACCTTGTTCAGGTAGGCAGAGGGCTTAGCCACCATAGAAATGCCGCCTTTAGGCTCGACGACATCCCAACCACATTTCTCTAGTGTCTATTGCAAAGAAATTGCCAAGCAAAGTTAGTGGCAGCCCTAGGAAGAACTCTACAATCCCACTTAGTTCAAGTTTAGCTTTCATAGTTACCAATTAAAAAATGACTAGTACCCATTTATGGTCCCATCAACGCAAAATGTTGGGAAAATAGATCAAAGATAGTTATGTCCTCCAATATTATTTACACACGGTAGGCCTCAAACCGAAAACCTTTTGTTTACGTCTCTCCCCAATTACACCAGGCAATAGCCCATTTCACATTTAAGAAATATAAACCCCTCATACCTTGAAACTCCACCCTCTTGGCTGCAGGCTCAGAACTCTTAGCATTACACTAAACAATGGATATTTGACATTTAACAAACACATTCAGAGAAAATATAATTATTTAACGCAAATAGTCTCCAGCATAAGATATAATTACCTCCTTCAGGCGCTGGCACCTAGATTGCAAATTTTTTGTTTGTTCTGTAATAGCAACTCTTAGTTCTGATTTCTGTTCATCCAAACCCAGCAACTTCTTTATGGCGTGTCGAACGGTGCTATGAGGTTTGCTTAATCCTGGAAAACTATAAAAAGTATCAACCAGCAGAGGATGGTTCAAAGCCAGAAACCCGAATTTCAGTGCTCCACTACAGATCTTCAGAGACAATTCTCCCAGTAAAGACAAGCAAAAAGATGGTTTGCGAGAGGAATTCAGCTTTGACAATGTAGGCTCCAAATCCCATCCACCCCAACCTTCAGTATCAAATTCCAAGCCAGACCCTGAAGTATCAATGACAACTCTTGCTCCAAATTTTGCACAAGTAGTTAATACGTTCTCCATCTCTTTGTTGCTGTAAAGCAAGCCTGTAGGGCTGATTGTTGGACCAGAAATGTAAACCCATGGCTTATTAACAGTCTGAAGTACCCCAGCGAGTAGGTTTTCTGTCAGCTTAAAGCCTGTTCCGGGGTCAGTAGGGATACTCATAATGGTTGCTTTTAAAAATTTTGCAGCAGAAACATGGTTTCCATTTGATCCAGCTGGGAAGCAAAATGTTCCACCTTCATTGATGCAGCAAAGGATCAGTCTATTAAACAGAGCTTGTGTGCTGTCTGCGTACACAAATTCCATGCTGCTATCAGTTGGAAACCCATAATTGCTCTCAATAAATTGCTTCATGACAGGGGTGACATCCATTTCTGATTCAGCAATGTTCTGTCTTGCAAAACCTTCAAAGATTGCAGCCTTTACAGGAGATGGAGAGGGCAAGAAGCTTTGATCGACATCCATGTGAATCAAGCTAGATTTTTCTGCCCCACTAATTGACAACTCGGAATTATCGAGGACTGAGATAGCTGAACTAGAAAACCCAATCAACTCAGCTGATTTGGCCTTTTCAGACTCCCTCTGTAGACAAGTATTGACGATACACTTCATCAGCAAACTTGCCTCCAGGAAAACAGAAGAATGTTTACAGAGAGACAACATTCACTATGCACTCATTAATCATTCAAAGAAGCACCAAATCAATAATGAAACCACAACCAATCAAGTTAGCAAACAAGACGAAAACGTGGGGTTACCATAAGCTCTTCTAATAATAAATCCTGTGTCAGTTTTTCAATAAATTTCATTTACAAGGCTCAAAAACGTTTGACTGAACATCAGGTCTAGACCATGCACCATGGTAAACCCAATGTACCTATCATGGTACAGCATAACATACATAATTCTACATGCTTTTCTGTCAGGACAACCACCATGCAGAATCTAACTCCCTTTTCTTCCAAGGACCGCAGAATCACTTGAGATGTCATAAATGCAAATGGAAAAAAGATGTACCACCCTAAACAAGATATCAAAGCTGACCTCCTTATGTAACCTAGTTCCAATACTTCTATTTTGGATATAATGATCAAACCTAATTCCATATAAGTTTGATCACAAAACTAGCACGTGTCTAGTATAATTTGGGGTGTTGCAAGTGTCGGTTTGCATCTACTCAGAAATTCCATGAATGCATTCAAAAAGCATTATGGAGAAAAGGATTGTTGATTTCTAAAATAATAAAATAATAAGAAAAAGTCCAGCAAACCTCTGCAAGTGGATGCCGGTCCGAAAGCTGAAAAGCTAGAAGCTCATGAAAAAGACAACCATAATAATGTTGCCTAATCGGTGTGGTATTTCCTTCTAGTACTTCCACAGTTTTGGACAAAGCCTTGAGGATGGCCTCTTCTTCTGAAATAACAAAAGCTACTTCTAAGTCCACATAGACCTGCAAAGGGTGTACAGCCATTAACATAGAGAAAATGAGATGGAAAAAGAACTGAGATTAAGGGAAATTCTCAAATCCATATTTGGATCAATTAATAAAGCAGTCACCTAAGTTAATTTATCTTGGAAAACAAATACCTGGTTTTTCACAAGACCACAAATGATTGTAGCATGTGAGGGCAGAGTAGTTCCAGCAAGATATTTCAGGACCCCATTGGAACTTGGAAGGCTGGATAGCTCAAAGTGATCAGATATGTCTAAGAAAAGACGACATCCAATTTCTCTGGTAACATCTAAAAGGTGCACAAAAGCTGAACTAGTGAAAGCCTCATAATGAGCCATTCCAGTAATCACCACCTGTGGCTTCAGCTTCTTTATCAGTTCTACCATCGAATCAGACTGTCTAGGTGCGTCAACGACTGTAATCACATCCTTTGACAAGCCATAACTTTCTGCACTCTACAATGCACAGAAAATGTTACTAGACGTGCAGCAACTGAAGTCGCATGTTTGCAAAATGGGTTAGGACATGTAGCACAAAACTGCTCCATTAGTTTTTACATAGCTTCAAAAGACGAGCTGCTAATGCAAAAGGAAGCTGACCAATGATATACCTTGAAAAACCATTGACCGGTCCAGTGTATTTCATTGACAAAACTGCTTCTCAAAGTAAGTTGACCCTAATGAAATTACTATGGACACAAAAATTGGCTTTTTATTGTTGACGTGTTCATTAAGACTAATGTGGTAAATCATATGCTAACAGCCCCATGCAATAAGAATCTTTTGAGCCTAACAAACTCAATTATGTGATTTATTGTCTGCATTGTCACAGAACCAAATTGTTAATAAAAGTAGTTGTGATTTCATTGACTCAATCACTTAAATAAGATTTTGACGAAGTCTAATATGCCTAGCAAAGGCGAATCATATGATGATTGTAGCACTGTGTTGAATATTATTAAACAATTAAAAAGCTTAACAACTATCAAGAGAATATGGCAGCAGGTCTTTATTTTCAAAGAGAAAAACATGTATTCTTTTTATAACAACGTCAAAGCATAAATAAATAGTAAAATTCAGAGTTCTATTCACTGTTTTCCAAGCGTTTGTGATTACAACAGCATTATCAGCAGAACAATCATATCTGGTAAATGACCTGTTTATTACATAAGCCTCGAAAGATACCAAAAATGAAACCATAAACTCAATGCCCCAATTTTCAGAATGACTATTTGACAG